ATATATATATATATATATATATATATATATATATATATATATATATATATATATATAATGTCTGTTAGTGTATATATTCCCTATTAACCCCTTTGACCGATCTGGACTAAATTCTATACAGTTGCCCTCTAAGAGCTTGCGACAAATGTAAGCTATATAAAACCTGGACACAGTCCACCCCGTATCCTTGATTTCATCCCTTTGACACTTTGTAACAATTTAAGTTTAAGTGCTCTGGATATAAGAAGCCCGGGAAATGCCGGGTAGTTTACGTTAGAGTAAGCAATAACAATCAGTCCAAGACTGGTCCCCGCCCCGGGACGGGATTAAATAAAGCGCTGCTATCGATTTCAAGACGACATGTACACTGTGTTCACGCCAGGAGGCAAAGACGCATTGGCAGTCGAGAGGGGATCCCAGATCCTGGCGATATTCGACACGATGGGCCACGGCGTCGTCTTCGACGAGGACAGTGCGGCGAGGTTCGTTCGCGTTCGGAAAAAGAATTTACAAAGAATGTTTAATTACTGTCGAGGAGGAAGCGGCCGCCCGCCATTCAGGATTCTCCAATTACTTCTGCAGGCTGTCCTACAACCAGACCGGAGGAATTTTTACGGACAGTCCCGTGGGCCTGCCCCTCGTTTGGACTTGGAACGCCAATCCGAGGGAGTCAATACTCGAGGCTGTGTATACGGTGAGTGCGAGAATGTTTGCCGGAGTTTCCCCACTTTTGCTGGCCGCAGCATAGATTTTCGATCAATCATGAATAAACGAACGGAACTAAGACCTTTCTTAACTTCTCCGTGGGATTACGATGAAAAAGCGCGCGGAGGCAACTTTGTCTCCTGTTTACGCTGAGTCTTTCGAACCAACTTGAACATAAATTCGCTTTAACGGTCCAAACGAACGCTGTTTACCCAAGGAAGGTCAGGAAACAACGGAGTTGTGCGACTTCGGTATATCTTTTATGCAAGATACCGTATTCCACGACTCCGTTTGTTACTGTAGATTGTATGTTATATTGACGAGTGTCGTACGAAGTAAGCGCGACGTACATAAATATTTCTGCTCCGAAAAAAACCGCAGGAAAGATCTACCGGACGCTTGCAAACGGAATTCTTTCCTGAATTGGTGCAAAGGTGAGTCGTAAATGTATACGTATACACATTCAAAGTAGTAGTGTTTACGGGCGCGTCACAACGTTCCGGTTACGTTTGGTCGGCTCTGCAGTTCCGGAAATGTTAAGACACCGGTATCACCGTGCAGCTCGAGAAATAAGAAAAAGAAGGTCGCCAAGGTGCAGAAACCTGTTGTCGAGGAGCGACAAGAAGAGGTCGGAAGCAAGTATGTCGGGCGAAAAAGTAATAGAGCAACTTCTATCCACAAAACATTCTAATTACACGATGTGCTCTCTTCTTGGAAGCAAATTACGACAATTGCACATTTTACTTGGCGTGTACAAAAGTCGGATATTATCCTATATTTTTTAAATAAACACTTGATATATGTTTCGTATACATATGAATTATTATCAAGTTGAGATGTAGCACAACAAATCGTTGGTGTATATATCGAATTGTGTAGTGAATAATTTCAGATCTCAGGTGAAACGAATCAATTGCATTTCTATGTCATTGTAATTTTTTGAAATAACATGTGACGTTTTAATCTATAATCTGCTATCTCAAGCAGAACAAAAAATGACGATGACGTCAAAATGACGAGAAAATAACTAAAAAATTCACTCTTCAATCACGATTAGGTCATTTTGACGTCATTGTAATTTTATACTTGGAAGCCTTCGCGTGCATTGTTTCATAAAATTATAACGATATAAAAATATATATAATCATTACATCTTATCCGAAAAATCCGAAATTACTTATTACACAATCTAATATATACGACATACAATAATCACAATTTAAACTCACTGTCTCTCGCCGCAGAACTCGATTGATAACGTCGAAGGCGAGAAAATGCAAGCTCATAATTCTTGCGTGATATTTTAAAATAAAAAGATATTCGAGTGAAAGAGAACTTTAGATTACTCGAGTATACTTGTAAAATGTTCCTTTTCCCATAGCAATCAATAAGTAGTCTTAAAATTAACGTTATGTCCAAAAACTTTCTTTCTGTCCTGCCATTTTTATAATTTTGTCACGATAATTTTACAGCTCTTTGTTGACTATTAAGGGAGAGGGACAGATTTCGAAACATTTTACAAGCAGGCGACTTGAAGTGAACTTTCATTCATATATCTTTTAATTTAGCAATGATATGCAAGAATTTTCAGCGTGTCCTTTCTCGCCTGTGACGTCAATATGGCAACGGCGAATACGCAGGAACTTTAACTAATCACCAATGCGTTTAGATCAAGAATCAAAAAAGACTTTCCTGAAGAAGATATCTTTCACATAAGAATAATTTGTTTGCGGCTGAACGAATTTCTCAGCCTACGTATCGTCGACCGGCGGAACATCTCGTTACGATTCGCTGCTAAAAACAAAATTATCAGGTGTTGAGACTCTTCTATTTACAAAAATTGCTCTTCTTTTAGAATCATACATATCTTAAAGTCGCCAGTTGCGTCTTTCGTTAATTATCTTCATCCTGCTTTCGTAGGATAGAATTGGGTACAATTTTGGACTTTGATAAAGAAACATCGTATTGCATGGTTGAAGCTACCGATTGGAAAAGCGATATGCTAAGGTAAAACGATGACATGTGGAAAATTTTACGCAATTTCTGATCAAACGCAATGCAAAAGTGATTGCTTCGTCGCAGATGCCGATTCCAGGATAAATTATCCATGAGATTGAAACCCGACAGCAGTCTGTATGATTTAGCCAAAGAGTACCAGAAGGTAAAAAAAATTGCGAAACAACGTAAAAACATGATCGCCAGGTACAAACCTTTCTCCAATAAATCAGATATTTTCGCATCATAAATCTGATATGTTAAAGACATTGTTGACAAACTTTAAACCACTTGTTAAAAAAATATCTCAAATAGGCCTGTTAAAATGTTTCCTTCAATTGTATATAAAGTTAAAGTCATATAAAGGATATGTAAAGGGTGATTGAAAAAAATAGGAGCAATGATTTATATAAATAAAAATGATCATGTAATTAAAATAATTCTCAAACAATTAATTAATGTTATCGTAATGGATGTTTCGCGAATACATTTCTCGCGCTGGTATAATAACGTTTACGATACGCGTTTCCGCGCATCTGTGTATGTGTGTGTGTCTGAAGCATACGTTATCCACGTACGCGTGTGTGTTAACTGTGTGTTTTCTGGATCCGTGTGCGGTGTGTGTATGTATACGTGTATACGTGTATGCATTGGTAAGTGTGGGTGTGCTTAAGACACATACGTAAAACATATTCCCAATTGACGGGAATATTCCTCGAGGGATACCTTAAGTACTAAGCGAAGTAAAGTAAAGTAAAGGGGAGGATAAAGTCGCACAATTTCGAACAATAAGTTAAGTTAGATCGATCAAGACGAAGGGAGGGGAAGATGTGGAGTTAGAAAAAGGGATAGAAGAAGAAAGAGAGAAGAGAGATAATAAATAGAGTCTTCTCGTTGAATCTTAAGCGGCTCGGCGAGGGTCCCTTGAGCGAGAACGATTCTTCGTCCTGAATTGAACTTGGAAAGAACAAGCGTTACGTTTCGACGACGACGACGACGACGCCGCACGCTCGCGCTCCAATCTCGAGACAAACGTGTTCCACCGGCAAGCGCCGACTCGCCGAATCGCTTGAGATCTAAGGAAGCGAAAATTGGTACACACCATCGAGCGCCGCCGACGTCGGCATATGACGTCGAGGGTCGCGACGAGAGCGGCTCTCCGCGAGAACGAATCGCCGGTACGGAATCGCACACGAGACGACGCGATGAGGTACGACGAAGGCGACGACGAAGAGAACCCAAGCAGCACAAGTGTCTAAACACATCCTAAGGACGCCCAAAACAAGTGGGACATCATTCAGACGTCTCTGAGAGAGAATTCATACTTTGGCAGTACAGCCGAAGGCAATACAGAAAAGGAGAAACCAATCAGTTGCCCTGGTAATTGACAGTTTCTGCTCTTCTACCAGCGCGAGTTCCGGTTGGCTTCTGCCTTCCTGCTTTCTGCTTTCCTGCCCAGGTGTGAATACTCCTTGAAGCCTAATCTACAATGTGCTCTTTACTTCCTACTTCTTCTCTGTTTTTTCTGGCTTAAGGTTCGAGTCAGAAAGAGACAAAGAGAAAGAAACAGGAAGCAAAGGACACATTGTGGGTCAAGCTTAAGAAGTCTTTCAGACACTTCTGCTGTATGGGGGATGCTCGCTGATATACGATGCGTGTATAAGTAACAGCGTGTACGCACACGGTGATCAAAGAGACGCGGGACAAGCGGGCGTCCTGAAGGGCCGTCTGACTACTACCCGCGGCTTATTTACAATGCCCTCCGAGACTACTCCTGGCGATCGGTCCCCCGCGCTCGCCCGATACCAAGCCAGGCAGCGGACGGTCGAGCAACCACCGGGATGTGGCAGTCACGTCGATCACTGCGGCGGCATGATGAGGAAGCGGTACGCGGGGTTCGGATATTTATTAATACGACGCGCACTCCATCGACCGCGATCCACCGACGCGCACTTGTTCGCCCGATCTGGCATGTGTGAGCTCGCGCACGCTGACTGAAATGATGAAGAGCCGATTCTCTCCGAGCGACCGGTGGAACGCGCGCCACATCGGCGTCTCTTTTTCTCATGACCTTCCTCTCTCCTCCGTGGTTCCACTTTCCCGTGGAATCGCTCGCGCTTCCGGGTCTCTTATTTACATGCTACTCCAAGAGCCCCCGCGTCCTGTCGCTCGGTTAGATTGACGCCTCCGCGATTGATATCGATCTAGTCGTTGTCCCCGTTGATTCGACGACCGCGATTAACGACCGCGACTAGACTAGACACCAGAGGCCACCGGTCACGACGAGGAGAGGAGGGGAGAGAAACGCGGCTCTGCAACCTTCGACGGGGAGAATCTCCGGCGCGTGTCTCGAGTTACGGTATGAAGTAGTGTCGCGGTGCGGTCCCGGAGCATGCCCGTCGTCGAGGTCGACGATCCTCTCCGGGGGAAGATCGTCTCTTCCTCCTCTGCTGCGGTGAGTCCGTTTCTTTTGATTTTGCGCACCGGGCACACCTCAGTTGGCGACCTTGACGAACTCCGGATTCGGCACGCTGCAGTTCTCCGTAGTTGCGTACGCCGGATGCACGAAGCTGTTGCCGCCGATCGCGACGTTCTTGCGGTCCACTGCGCGCACCCTGACGAAGAGGAAGGCCGCGACTAGGGATGCCACCACGACCACCAGCAGCAGCATCACCAGACCACCCACGAAACCCGGCAAGCTCATGCAGATCGTCTCCGGGTCGGAGGACGCGCTGGCGTTCTGTATCACCACGGTGCTGTCGTTGCTGGAATTCGTCGTGCCTAAGGCGAAGTTGACGTCACCCGGCGCCACGACTTGGATGACTCTCGAGGTGTTCACGTCCGTCATCTCCTGCGCCGCTCGCTTGTACACGTGAGTGGAGAACAGGGTCACCGTGCGATAGACGTTCTGAAAATCGAGGATAAGCGTTGCTAAGCCCGTCGAGAAATTCGCACACCCACGCGCGCGCGTGCCAGGATACCGAACGGTACCGTGGAACGCGTCATTTATAATGCATTCATAGTGAATTATATGTAGATACATTGTTACATACATTGTTAGATCGCGAAGAAGGTAGCATTTTACGCTTTGATACTTGATATATAATGACTGATCTTAGAACCCGTCTTAATTCAAAAGACTTTGACGTCAATTGCTCGATTATTGAAAAAACATATCTTTTAAATTTGATATTTTAAACTTCCGCTATATGGTGAAACGCTTGATCTGTGAATTGGTGTAGCCTTATACATTTGTTCTCGACGTTTTGTGAACATTGCAGTTCACTTCTTCAAGAAGAAGAACTGAAACTTTATCTTGACCTAGAAGTTTCAGATTCTTCTTCCTAAAGAAATGAGCTGGAATATTTATAAAACGTCGGAAATACATCCAAGAAGGGCGCTCCATCAACCTAGAAGCCAAATTAAATATTTCATCGCATGTGAAAGTCTAAAATATCAAATTTAGGAGAGAAATTTCTTTCAAGAATGTTGTCTGTGATGTTTCATGAATATTACAGTTCATTTCTTCAAGGAGAAGAACTGGGACTTCATTTTGATCCGTTCAGATCATTCCTCTTCCTAAAGAAGTGAACTGGAATGTTCACGAAACATCGAGAGCAAATCCATGAAGGACACAGCCCAGCAAACAGATCAAGTGTCTCTTCCAACTCTGAAGTTTCGAGGTCCTTCGCGTTACTTTGGTTTTGATGGTGGCAATGTATTAATGGAAGTGCCGAAATAAAACACTTACGCTATCGTCATCTTCCAGATGAGGCTCGTCATGCCTTCGCCTTCTGGCGCCTCTCAGCTCGGCCGGGAAACCTTCGACCGACCTCGGTCGACCTCCGAGGATGGCCAGGTTGCCTTCGAGCTCCTCTGTGCCGGCGGTTCCTTTTCGCTTCACAGTCTGGTACGCCGAGGGGTGGCCGGGCAGAGGAGGTGGAGGAAGAAGACTGTCCTGAGAGCTCTGGGGTGAACTGCTCGCCGTCGCGTCGCCCGGTGTCGAGCTGGGTGAAGAGGACGAGGTTTGCGCCTGCGGTGCCGGAACTATGTCCGGATTCGGCTCGCTGCGGGCAGAAATTAATTTCAGTCTCGCTTCGGTGATCTTCACAAATCCGACATTACAATTCAGATTGTTTGCTCGAATAACTTAACATATATGTTTAACAATTAACTTAACATATATGTTTAACAATTAAAAAATTAAACAATCCAGTTTTTAACTTTTCAATTAAATTAACATAATGATGATTATATTTTGGCACACAAACTTTTCCTCATATTCTTTCTTCAAACTTCAAATTTTTCGTCAAGCCCAGTGGTTGGGCTCAAAATCTTCCTTCGCGTTTCGAATGAAGCGAGTGATGAAGACCTTAATGAACGCTTCATAGAAGTGCTTTCGAACAGTAACCTGATGTCGTAGGCTTTCTCACCTGTACGCTCCAGCTGGCCCACTGGGATGTCGTGGATCAGGATAAGCCGGCGGCACGCCGTATTCGGGCACAGGCGGGGCACCGTACTCCGAAGCAAGACCTTGCGAGACCGGTGCGCCATATTCGTGAGAGATGCCGGCCGGCGCCCCATACTCGAGTCCAGGATGTCCACACTTAGGCTCAGGGCAATTGTGCCGACAGACTTGAATCACGCACTGGAAGTGGACGTTCATGCTATCGGGGAACTTGAAGGCCTGGAAGTAAGCGAAACTAACGACGGACGCGCTCGGGCCGAAGTTCTTGATCTTCTGGAACCTGCAAGAAGAAATGAAGTTTCGTACCTCTTTTCCCTTAAAAAACACATCCGTATACCAACGTATTTTTCATATTATTTACAATTATTTATCGTATATAGTAGTATATAAAATAATTACATGTGCAATTATACGTAATTATTATATATAAAAGTGATAAATAATTATATAAAGTGGGACAAAACGCTGTCCACTTCAAATATCTTCGCTATTTCGAACTATATAAGAAAGTAGTACCTACAAAAGTTTTATAATTCCAAAGGAGACGTGAGTATAGTGACAATAATTTTTTTGTGACTGCAGATATATGTAAGAAATTTCAAAGTCTGAGCGTTCTAAAAAAGAAAAAAACATAGAGAAACCTTAAACAAAATTCTGTTGCGTTTTGCAAATTCATTGACGAATATGAAAATTAATATCACCGACCTATTCCTCTCGTCATTCATATCATAACCATATGGTCCCATTTAAAAAGTTTAAAATAATCTCAAGGTCTCCTACATATCTCCACTCACAGAAGAACCATTGTCATATAACTTATACATAAAAATATAACTAATACATATATACTCATACTTTATGTATCATTATTTGTCTTAACTATATGTAATACATTCAAACTCACCTAGACATAATCTTCGGTCTAACAACGCAGCCGAATTGATCGACCAGCTGGATCGGCGTCCTCTTGCCGTCGTGTGCAACACAGTTCCTCACCAGCATGTCGAACTTGTTCTCGTCGTCCTTGATGGCCAGCACCATCGTCATGGTCTGCCCGATCTTGACGATGCCAGACACCTCACTGGCCCACGGGCCCTTGCCTACCTGTATCTGCATCCAACACTGCAGGTTGTCGCCGAGGAAGTTGGCGGTGACGGCGTGCAGCGTGTCGACCTGGAACGGCCTGAAGGTCACCGCCTTTTCGTAGAAGTCGTACCAGGTGCAGCGTAACCTCCTCGCCTGATCCCACACTTCCTGCACGTAGGAATCATACTGCACGATTATCGTGTTTTCCACGTAGCTGCCGGACGGCGAGGGTGCGCCGTAAGCGGCCACGTGGTGATTCGCTGACGTGCTCATGCCGCACGAGTTGAGGAAGATCTCGAAGGTCGCGCTTAGCTGACCGGTGCCGGGCTTCAGATGCACACAGTGCGGGTCCGAGTAGTGGCCCTTGCTGAAGATCATGCCGTAGAACGGCCGATCGAACTCGATGTTCACTCGCATGTGCGTCTTCTCGCACTGCACCTGCAGATTCTTGATCTGCGGGGTGTCGGGCGACGCCAACGGCCAGTTTTCTTCGTGGACGACCGGCGGGCCATATTGAGCCGGTGCACCGTACACCGATCTGTGTTCCAGGGGCAGCGCGCTGCTGTCCAATGGTGCTTCACTCCTTACACCCTGATAACAGAAATGAACAACGTGCAGCTCAAAACAGTGATCGACCAGCCCAGATAGATGCTTATCGTGTCATCAACGCTCGCTACGATAGATACAAAGCATCCAGATCAGAAGGCGACACAAGTAAAGGACAGTACATATCTTGGCAGAAGAACAGGAAGCGGAAAGACAGAAATCAGTCAAAGCTCCTGCTGGTAGAAAAGCAAGAACTGTCGATCATCAGTGCGAGTTCTTATTGGTTTCTGCCTTCCTGCTGTTCTGCTTTTCTGCTTCCAAGGTGTGAATTCTCCCTAAGAGTAAGTAAGGAAACTGCATGTCAAGAAGCGAAACGCGGTGGCATTAATCGTAGACACGTCGCCGTGAGCGAGATTCTTGACGCTTGTTATCTCCTTGCATCTGAATGCAAAAATAGTCGTTCGAGCGCAACTTTTTCAATTTACCTACAAGGTAGCTATTATTATTGCGCGAAGTAAACGCAACGCACCGCGACTCAGAGGAAGAACTTTCAACTTTCAGCTGTTGCAGCAACGTACTGGCAATTTTCAACCGACACGTGCTCTTTTTCTAGATCGTGCACGTGACCGTTTCGAGAGACCAACCTGAGGTTCTCTTATAAAACAAAGTTTTAACTGAGTTGCACTAAACGTGACAAGGGCGACTTTTCTTTCTTTCTCTCTCTTCTTCTCTCTGTCTCTTTCTCCCCTTCTCTCTCTCTCTCTCTCTCTCTCTCTCTCTCTCTCTCTCGACCTTCCCTATCATCTCTCGACTCTTTTCTTTTGACGACCCCTCGCGAACGACACGCTTCCACTGGAAGCTCCGCTCTTTCTGGAATTATAATGAATGACGAGCTCCAGTACGCCTTCTGCCGTCCTCCCCCTCGTCGTCACACTCTTCACTGCGCCTGGCACGATGTAGAGGTGAGCGGGGTGTATTAGAAATTCCGCAAATGTCGTCGGCCGTTGCGACCTTTCACGGAATGCCAATCGAACACGGTTTACGGTGCTCGAGATTCCATAGAATCACAGAGAGGAACCACTCCGACCTTGAGAAAGAAGTCCTACTGAGTCCTGCATCCTTAAAGCTCGCGACCACATTAAGAAGACGAGAGGACCGGTCGACACACAAACACTCAATACACATATTGATTCTTCCCTGTGTATCTCCCCGCCAACTATTTGTGTCCCGTTAGGATAGAAAGGTACAGGTCAGAAGATAATTCCAACGAAATTACACCTGTCACTTTTGATTTCAACGCGAGTTGATTTGTTCCTCATTAAACGGCAGAATCGCACCAAGTTCCCGATCATCAGGTGAGTTAAGCGACGTCAATCCGCAAAAATCCCTTTTCATCTCGCACACTTTTTGCTCCACGATGTTCTCTTTTGATTGCCGAGCGTCTACATGCACGTTATTATCTCGAGATGATTAATTAACGTTAACTGCCGCGCGACACCGCGAGAGAATTTTTCTCGTCGACAGTTAACGTTATGCATTCGGACCGACGAGAAAGTATGGGCTCACGGCGCGAATACAAATCGAATGGTGTCGACGCCTTTGTAACGGCAGGTACCGTATGTTAATATGCACGAAAATATGCTGGCAAAAACGTGACCGAAAACACGCGGGGTACTGTTAGTCAAAGGCACATTGTCGGGAGGAATCGAATGCACGCTTACGCTCGGAAAGGTCGGACTCGTCCGACGAGCCTCCGGCTCTCCCCCGGGCTATTTTGTATTCTAATTCGGTAGAACTGCAGGAACGTAATTACACGAATCTGCGTAGCGAAACAATGTCTTCACTTCCGCCGGGAGATCTCGTACCGAATGCAATTTCGCCCGTAGCGGCGCGTCTATCGTATTCTTTCGTGCTTTCCCCAATTTGACACGCAGCTCTAAACACACCGCTTCGTTATTAGCTCGCTATCTATCCGAATATCTCGCACGAGCATCGTACTTCATATCTGATACCGCTGCACGGGGATCTCGCCACGATAAACGAACAATTAATGTAACAAGATGTACGCAGATCACGGCCAAATTCGTAAATAGGTCACAGATATGTATCTGCGTGTTGACATTAGAATGCAAATCTTGTTGAATCAAAACGCTCATTTTAACTGTTTTGATATTTTAGAACTCTCTATGTTGCTTATCACGCGTATCGAAATGATGACTTCTGAACATACTAACGATTTAATTTGTAAAATATAGACTTTACATTATAAACAAATTATAATTTTCTCAAACTTATAATTTTCTATAATAACTAACATAAAAATATCAAAATGGACGCAGAATAAAATATAAATTTAATATTACAATACCCGGAAATAATTCCCTTTGGATTCTCAAAACGATCATTTTGACTGCTTTCGATTTTAATATTTTAAAACTCTTTCTTTCTCTGTTGCTTATTACTCGTATCAATAATGACTTCTGAATGTACTAAAAATCTAATTTGCAAAATACTTGCAAATAAATTTATATTGTGAACAAATTGCAATTTTCATAATTTCATGATTGGTATCCTTCTATAATTAGTACAAAAGGGCTGACAAATAGACACAGAATACAATATGAACTTGATCGGAATTGAGAAACTAAAATCTCAAATAATAATTTGCATACTGTCCTTAAACAAGTCAAAATAGCTTCATCGGGCATTCTAATGTTACGAGACTAGTAACAGAATAGATTGCGCCTATCATTATGCCAACAGAGAGTAAGAAAACTCTGAGACACGAAGGAAAATGTACTATATACATGACTATATGAAACTAGAGCGTCGTGCCAATTACAACAGTTTATATTATGAGTTAATTGCGGCAACCGAGCGTTCGCACTGATGCGTGATCGTAAATTAAATGGCATAAATGTTGGAGGCGCGTGTTCACCGATACAGCCGTTAGTTTGTAGAGAAAACGCAGTATCCTCTGTAATTGCTTTAGCAAGTCGTCACACATTTACAAGAGACGTCCGCGAGATCTCTCGAACTCTGGGAGGAAATCCCATTCATTCCGTATCTCCTCCGATAAGTTTCTTACTCGCTCTCGTCCCGATAATACGGTAGTAGAGCTCCGCGGAAAAACTAGAGTTGTCATTTACGCGCGCTGTAATTTCGAGAATACGCCGAGAGTGAGGAGCAGGCGCAGAGGTAAACGGGGAGGCCATCGCGTTAATCGTCGGGACGGTACCAGTCGTGACAGACGGATGACAGTGGCGATTCACGATCACCAGGGAGCACGGTTTGTAACTGGGCAGGTCGTCGCACGCGCATACCTGTCCGCTTTCTTGTTCTACTTGCATCTGCACCTGATCGGGCTCGCGGACTTTCCGGATAGGAAAATACGGCGAAACCGGTCGGCGCGCTTATAACGAAATCACGATCCGCTAAGATTGCGGGCAGCTAAGTAAGTGCAACCGGTCCGTCGAATTTCTAGTGCAGCTATGCGCTAACGACACATACACACACACACACCCACACCCACTCATATGCACAGATCGGCTGATACGCAGATAATAAGAGAGAATGAGAACGATCAATTTTTCAATTGGGCTCCTTCAAAGCAATCAGCATGAAATCAAGCGTTTTATCATCCGAGTTACATTATTCGCGGCTTGTCACGCAAATTTCACTTTATCTTATTTTCACGCAATTGTAGGTCTCTCACCTAAATGCGTCAACCGCGTTAACTGCGTTAGTCGCCGGTATATTATGCAAACGATTTATGAAACCGATTACGATTTGCGTGGATTGTAAAACGTGACTCTCTTCAATCTAATGTTCAGCGAAAAGTGACTTTCACGACATATCGTTAACCTGAATAGGAGTGTCTTCACGTTGGGGCGGGTTTGCTTGGAAAATACATGCATTTGTAATTCAGTTACAATAAGTCGCAAAACAAAAGGAAAATGATTTCAATATGATTCAACTTTTATCAAGCATACGGAATCTTGAGAGAGAAAGGGAATATTTGATGGTATTATTATGAATAGCAATTTTGAAATAAGTGAAAAGAAATAAGGAAGAATTGGATGCGATGTTCAAACGTTTGAATCGATCTCCAAAGAGATTCAAGGAGATTAAGTTGATTTCAACCAATAAAAGAAGGGGATTTGAAGAATAAATGTCCCTCCGGAAGAAAAGAGGATAAATCTCATTCCTTCTCTTCCTTTTGTTTTTGCGGGACACATCGAGAACGGGAACGAGAAACGTCGCGATAGAAGGACGTGGCGTGATGCGGCCGTGGAAGACAGGCTGATTTCACTTTTCCATTGTCGTCCGCTAGACGACGAATTGTTCGCGGCTGGACAACGCACTTTCACCGAATCGCGTGTGCAGAACGAGTGTCTTAATTGTAACGGATGCGACGGCCGTTCAGTCGTTCACGTCGATTTCAGTGGTTCCGCTTTAATCGCGCGCATTTTACACAGCAGCGCTATTGGCCGTGCCGTTTAATAGGTTGAGTGCTACGGCGGACGCCGCGGTATCCTATATTTTGCGTTGACGGTATTTTTATCTTCCTCACAGTATGCACATAAGAAAGGTCTCGCCCCGCTATCGAGACGAAACTGCGAGTTGTGTTGTAAATATTTCTCTCATTTTTCATGATATCTTCATTAATGTTTTATCCATTGTTGATTAATGCTAATTTAATACCGTTCTAAAGCGCACTTTTCGTTTCGGTATCTTTTTGTCTTGATGGTGGAGAAAATGAGAGAGAGTGAGGGAAGCGCAGTGTCCATATCGGCGAACCATTCTGGTCGATTGTTGTCGTCAAATGAAGGAAGCACAAAAGTTTAGCGAAAACGACACGAAACGGAGCAAGGCGATGAGATGCCGAGTTATTCTCGTTCGGGAGTATGATCTTAATTAATTAGGCGGATTGCTCAATTCACGCGAGTGGCATGCGTGTTAACAATTTTTATAGCAAACGACCGAGTTTCTCTCGTTTAGAATATGTATGACGGCCTGCGGGCCCATGTGCTTCCCCGACGGGG